GTGCGCGTGTGTGCGTAAGTTGCGTGCGTGCGTGCGTGCGCGTGTGTTTGTGCGCGTGCGTGTGTCTGTACATACACGCATTAGCTGTGGGCAGGATGCTCGGCGCAGTCCGGAGAGACTGCGCCAGCATTAAACGTTATGTTATCCCGTTAGAAAAATCAATACACTAGGTGCAGTAAACTACAGTGAAATGTATATTCATACATGTTTACTTCTCACTAATCATACTCCTGTATCATTCGGGGTGGCACGTAGTAAGCAGAAGAGCCCACTCAGAGATCTGTCAAGTTTTTAAGTATCGCAGGCGACAAACTTAAATGGCTTCACGGGAAAGAAAGCACACTGCGAGCAATATCAGAGCTCATAGAAATGCAGCTGGGCACACGCCAACATAATGACTATTTAAGAATAACATGATGTCATTTACGCGATATACGCACGATGTGAAATACCAGGCTATATACAAATCGCATATATACAAACGTATACACACATGTGCACGCGCATACACGTATACGGTAGACGCACTTCACGTACAATGCGGTGCTATATGCCGCGCGGCGATTCCTACAAGACTGGACGAGACTATATTATTTTATGAAATTTATGGAATTCTGCATGGTGATGCTTACGAACAAAAGATTCTAAACAGTATCTCCACTGAAACCAGTACGCTCCTATAACGACTATTGACTACGCCTTGCTATTAGTGACTTCTTCATCGATCCCGGATATGCAAATGAAGATTTTAGAAGTTTATATCATCATATCATGTATCTTTCCTCCCAAACGTAGTTAATTGCACAAATAATCGTAACTAGTGTACAGTAAGGTTTGTTATGTGCAGCCACGCGACAAATTTATTCCAGTAATTCGATGCTAATGTATGCACTGAATTTCTGCCACTCTCTATCACGCACTCGGCTCAGTGCTCACGATATTCACGCCAAGTGATAACGCTACAGTTATAATGTATATCCTATACAGACTCTGGGCAGTCTAGCATATCCATTGACAGCGATGCAACACTATAGTTGTTTGCGAGTCGTAGGAGACTGGCCTGAAGCCCTATCCGTGACTGTCGGACGTATACAGACGAGGCGCAAATGCAATGAGCAGCGCAACGCGATAATTCCATCGTGGAAATGCACAGTGAGCACAACAGCTTTCCTATCTTCGCCCCCTCGAAGCGCCGCAAGCATCTTCTCGGCCTCGTGGCCAGTGTTGCCTGGCTACCCATGGTCCCGACTGCGCCGACGAATAAATTTTGAGCGAATACAAAACACTGAAGCATCACTCCCTTGTCTGGTGCTCACGCTGGCAACGCGTTTCTTTATCATTATGAATACGAGGCACGCACAAACTGCGCACGAAGAAAGTTGATGTGCATAGTGCACGCGAGTATGTATACATCCACGACCCTCGCGGATGGATACACTTTCTTACGTTCAGTGCAGCTGCAGAGAACATTGGTTGTCAGCACGAAACAGATGCGAGTTAATTGACGCTTTCTAACACGATTTGGCGCAATTATCGTCACGATTGACTCATGCTCATGTGCACAAAAAGTTTCGTACAAAACACTTCGTAGCACTAAACAATTGTACAGCATTCCAACTTACACTGAAACGCCACAAGGTATCCAAGACTAATATGCCTATGTATAATGGATCTTACTATTAGGCACAAGTCACCCTAAATAAATTATACTAGTATGCTGTTGTTGAGACGATATATAACGATTGACTGAGAGTTTGTGCAATTACTATTGGCATGTGTGTTTTACGTTGTTCGCCGACACCTGCTAACATTTTCAACCTTTCGTTTACGACATTATATTACTACGATTCGTGCTTGAGTGCTTCAGCCGTAGACGAATTACACCAGCAACTGGCATGTCACTTCGACTTCACAATTTAATACACTAGCGAGGCGAACCGTGGTTACTGTTGTGCTGACTGCAGATTTTGCTTTTCAACGCGCATCTCTGACAATGACGAAACCGGCGAGGAAATTAACGGAATCCTATTTCTGTGTGTCACGTCGCTATCGTCGAGTACCTACAAACACTACAAGCATCTCGAACCCCTCACGACCTGACCTTTCTTCTTCTTCAAGGTGATAAAAGATGCAGACCTGTGTCTAAATGTCTAAATGGTAAGACTAGCTGAAGTTAAACAAAACTGTGCCCAGTGAGAGACAGCATAACTATGAAACATGACGTCAACAAGAACGTGTGCCTGTGTTGTAATGAACCAGAATATTGTTTACTAACCATCTACAATGACTGGCTCTACAAAGATGCGAACAAGAGTCTACAAGTATAGTGGCACAAATAGCTATGAAATTCCTCACTAAAGGCTGGTGACATGATTATCATTAACTCTGTTTTTTTCTCCGATGATCCAGGATATAATAGCTGGGTATATGATACTAATTGCTAGCTAGGCCACCATACTCAAGACCCTGCCACTAGCCTTTGCCAATGCGCCCCAAGCTTCCAACTCCATCCATCTCATACATCATAGATTTATAGTGGTGTTTTATTGGATGCGTGCTCCCCCGCTTGTTAATTTCTGGCTTGCCGATGCTGCACCGATCAAGTTTTCGCTGCGTAAAACTTGTGTTCGTCAACGAAATCCTGTACCAAACCAACGCGCTGCCATCGGCCGAATGCTGCGGAATGAGGACTCATTGCGGCCGCATAGCTGGCAGATGCATTTCTGCGAGAACTGCACGTCTAATAAACTCGGTGAGGCCTTCTCTCCCTCTCCCCGTGTCTCCAACACTTATCTGCACGGTCTCCCCCTTTATTCACTCACCGATGTTTGGATGCTTTAGCTGTCTACAAATCCTTGCCTCCCTTTCCAACTTCTGGTGATCTGCCGAAAGAAATACAGAAACGGTGTGAATGGTGTATTTGGGGCATGAGGGGGCACTATGAGATGGCTGGCAGTGAGTCTAAGATCCGGTCAAGATAAAAAAACAAGATAGAGATCTTGTGTACGTGCCAGTGATCTACGCACAAGTCTGCTTGGCGTATAATGCCAACATTGCCACACACATACTGGATCGTATGTACACGATTCACGTAAAGATTTAGTTTAAACAAACTGCAACTACAACTACGGAAAGTTTGATATAATGAACGAAAGCTGTAACCACTTTTTTCCATAAAAACAACAACGTGGGGGCCGCCATCTTGGTTCTCCACTGCTATTCTATTTCGCACAAATCCGGTAGGATCCGGACTGGAGAATGTGAAGAGTCCGGACTACATAATCGAATTGGCCCCTGCTGACCGCTGACACGCGTGTGGACACAGGAACGTACACTTTCTTACACACTCATGCTTACCTACGAACGCACACGTACGCACGTACGCACGCACACACGCGCGCATACAGGCACGCACGCATCTGTCCCTACATCATCTATTCGCCTATCCATAAAAGTGCAGTAGAAATCACATGATATAGCCAAGTAAAGTTGCTGCCCCCCACCAACCCCCGCCCCGCCCAGGTTATTGATCTGGTCTAGGTCGGCCAAGACAGATGCGGATATCTGCAGCCACTGATCGCAAACCTCGAAAACGCCAGCTTTGTTCAAGCTGTTTCCCAGGAGCGCACGGGTTTTTCTTCGTGACCTACAAACACTAGGCCTACAGTTTTCTTAACAGTTTGCTACACAATATTCATTCCACGCGGGTGGGAGGAATCCACGCACACACCGTCAGACACACGCGAACGAACGAACGAACGAACGAACGAACGAACGAACGATCGGTCGAACCCTCTCTCTGAGTCTCTCTCGATCTCGCTTTCTCATATAATGAACGAAAGCTGTAACCACTTTTTTCCATAAAAACACGTTCGCGCCCATCTCCAACTTATCAGATTCCCCATTCACGTCAAACATTTTATTCATCACAATTTACATCATCCGAATAACTACATTAATTCTGGATATATCTACTAAGATTGCGGATGTGACAAATTTCGTCCGTTTGCAGATGAACTGCACAAGCTTTATACGACTTACCTCGTGCTGAAAGCTTCTTTGTATTTATTATCTTGGCAGCAAACTCTAGTCCCGTAGACTTCTGAACGCATCGTCGTACTATTGAGAAAGCACCCCTGAAAGCAATAAACGGCAATGAAATGCATACCCACCTTTAAATAAGTTGCACGCACAAGAAATCCAGTGAGTCATTGGTTAGGCCACATTGCATCAGCATGAGGAGATAACTGCATGAGAAACAGTACAGGACTATGATATACATTGGCACTGCCCGAAGCACAGCAGCAGTAGTTCGGCTGGTAGGTCGCGCAGGGTCCACGATGTAGCTCTACGAAATGCTTAAATGTATTTCATGACCAGTATAGCCATCATGTACCATCATGTGTAGCCCATTCACTCTAACACAGCTACGTCCGGCTAGGGCACGACATAGACAACGACAAGATTTTGGCAGATTTCAAACATGTTTCTCACTTAATATATGAAACAAGCGGAAGACTTACAATGGTGCATAGTAAATATAAAACAGCAGAAGAGCAAAACATGGTCACACTATTGAGCACTGGTTATTAAAATCTAACACCACCACTTTTGTAATTTGAAGCTTTTTGGGACCCTCTTGCGACGTTTTGACAATATCCTGAGAAACTACTGGCGACTACCAGCAACCAAAGTAAATATTCTGTAAACAGCAACTCATGATAAAGAAACGAGTAAATGATGGAACTGAGCTGGACTGTGAACAACTAGCTTTGCATCGATCGGATCCGACGACCCTCCTACCCCAATTGTTGTCAATCAATATCGGTTTTTGTCGAGTTACCTCTGACTAACCAAGCGTAGCTGCTGAAACCTGAAGGACTCCAGAGGACTTCACATACGATACAGAACGTTTTACGGAAGAAATTACCCCAAAACGTGGTTTCTGAATAGCTATTATTTGGTTAGACAGCTCATGTAAAACACAGGCAGGGTGGCACGCCGACTGGGACCTACTCTCTCATGCACGTACGCGCACGTGCACGCACGCACGCACGCGCACACACACACACACACACACACACACACACACACACACATGCACGCACGCACACACTGATGGGCTACGGATTCGTGCATAAACGGGCCACTAACAAATAGTAACATGCCGCCTTTTACGACAGAAACCAGAGTGCCAGTGGCAGATGCAGGCCTGCGTATAAATATTATTCCCTTCCACAACCTCAATTTACAGCTGCGACTGAGTATGCGGCAGCAACGGCGGTTCCACGGCATTAGCATCATACCTTCTCTAACTCACCCAGTTACTACGTTCCCAAGACATCCCAGTGAATTATTAATTACGTACAGTACGCCGCGTGGATTTACATTAAGTACGCACACACGCGCCGAGTGAGGAAATACACATGTAGCAGATTTCCAGCTTGCAAACCATCACTTAAGCTCACGTAGGCCTAGGTCCGAACCCCCGAATGCCAATAATAGATCTGTGTGTGAGTTCTTAGATGCAAGAGAGAGAGAGAAAAAAAAATACCGAACTTACACATTTGCGAGCGAACAACAGGACGGCCGGGCAACATGACTCACCCTACAAATTTAGAACGGAGCCCTGCTTTGACAGCGAGTCTGTACGCACCCAGCGGCAGCTGTGGCAGGCAAGGCCTGGATACAGATGCAGACGCAATCGCATTCACAAAATGTTTTCGACCTTTTATTTCCTACGACTTTTTGAGTAGGGATGCATAAATCACTCTGCAGGATTCTCCCCTAGCAGAAGAGGCATAGAACTCTAGCCAACTGCCACTTAGTGAACCGGATAGTGGGCGCCTACTGACAACTACTCGTGCCCGCTAGTAAAACAAGTGCTGCGGAGCGACAGCGCTCATCTAACGTCTACTGCGGTGACTCTGTGGTGAGGTGGTGGGATTCTAGTAAACCCTGTTAGTCCCAAATGTGTTCACATACACGCCGAAACAGTGGAATGCACAGGGATGGTATCAGGAACCTTCTCAAAAGAATGTTCGTTGGGATCGTTATGAAAGTTGCCACGAGATGGCGCGTACGTTTAAGTGTTCAGATTAAAGATGGAAGCTCCCATCATACGTAGTAGCAACAACTATTTGCAAGACAGAATAGGTAAGCACTCATCCATTTACCTACGCAAGCCTACAGGCTGCAATAGAGAGCTGCCACCTGTAACCAATTAACGCAGGCAAAAACGACACAGTACCACCAACACATGCACTGGCAGTAGCCACTGGCAGTGGCATACGTTACATGTAACATACTGACAGTACAGAATGCCATAGAAATTATACGATTTAAGGAGCATAAACCTTCTTTAACCAAATTTAGCTTTTGAAATTTCACTGTGACATTGTAGCCTCATACATCCAGGCATGTATAGATTCTACTAGCAAACCCGGCAGTCAAATTCTTTCTAACAGACAGTCAACAAATCCATGTTTAACCCTCCTCTTGAGGGTCAAAAGGTTATCTGACACTTACTCTTCGCATGTCAGCCGAAAGTAGATTTCATGGTCCTTTCAATAATGTCATAAAAATGCTAGGTCACCGCTGAAACAAAAAAGTTTTTCAATCGCTCCGTCAAGACCATGTCCTCAGAAAATGTTTAAAATCTGCCCTGTGCCCATTGACCTTTGACCTGTGACCTCCAATTTCGGCACAGTGATGGCTTTTCCTACCATGATGCTATACACCAACTATCACGAGCCTAGGTCGAGCCGTTTAGATTTGTGCCGCAATTCTGCATTTCCTCCCTATACCTTAAGTTAAGGAGTGAATGTTTCCCCTTCTTTTACACCTCTTGACCTTTGACCTTTGACCCCCAGCTTCGACATCCCAACTCGTTTTCGGATTACCCCCCCACGTCCCGAATATCGTGACCGTATGTCGAGCGGTTAAGATTTGTGCCCAACTGTTGACGGACGGACGGACGGACGATCATGCGATTCTACAAGCTGCATCTGACTATGTCAGATGAGCTAAAAAGCCAGCAGTACGTTCTTATGCAAAATTGTACCCTCTAGTAAACAATAGCCCTATTCCTACCCTCAGGTAAAATGGCTAGGGGCAGCTTCTAATTAACCCTAACCCGTAATTACCTAGACAGGGGCATGAGTCGGCCAGCCGTTACAAGACAGATGCCTCCCCACTAATGCTCATTCGTTCCTCTAGGAATTGCATGCTGACCATCTCAGCACACTCCCATCTCCGCCAATCTAATTTTGCAAAATATAAAAAACGTTGAGGCACTCACTGTGGCTGAGAGGGTCTATAGGGGACCCTAGGGGACCCTAACCCTATTCCTGGGTACTGCCGGAACGTACCCTGGGTACGGTCCAGTGTACCGGAACGTACCCTGGTACTATCTAATATGCCGGACCGTACCTCGCCTACTCCACTAACGAGTCTAGGGAGTCGCCTACGCCTACTCCCTAACCCTAACCCTAACCCTAACCATATCGAATACCCTAACCCTAACCCTAACCCTAACCATATCGAATAGTTACCAGAGTACGTTCCGGTATACCGGACCGTACCCAGGGTACGTTCCGGCAGTACCCTGGGGTAGGACTGTCATCGATGCCCACCTCATCGATAAATCGCGATGGATTTGCGTCCGATATCGATATCGAAATAAATCGAAAAATAGCGATCCGATTTATTTTTTTATTTATTTTTTTTTTTCAAAAAATGTCGTTTTTTTTCGTAAAAGCATGTCTGCTGCTTCGCCATCGCCGCGACGCCAGGTCAATCTGGTTGAATTCAGATAAATATATACTTCGCCCATGTTGTATTTAAGCACAGCGATGTATAAAATGCATAGTTATCATAGTAGAACACAATACATGAGTTTACTGTACTTTCACGGCTCATGTTTTATTACAATTATTAAATCGAATCGGATCGAATCGGATCGAAATATCGAAAAAAAAAATATCAATAATCGAATCGAAATAATTTGATACCAATGACAGCCCTACCCTGGGGGACATATGAGCCTCACTGTGCGGACAAGGCATCATGCAACCGACGCTGCACCGACAGACCAACCGCCTCTCCACGCCAATGCCAGCTTTCTGTAGCAAGCGTACGTTCGCCGGCGGACAATTTCATTATCATATAGGCGGCAAGCGAAAATTCACCGCCAGTGCACACGCCGCAGACGCAGCTCACGAACTGAGCTGCCCGTCGCTGCCGCCATTGTCGTCCTCATTGTCCTCGCTGTCGTCGTTGTCTGGTAAGTCAGTGACGTGGATATCGACGTCGCACAGCTCTTTGGAGCCTATGCATGTGCGTTCGCTCACGTTGTGAGTGTCGTCGTCGTCGAACCATGGCCGCCGAGACGAGAAAAAAACATTTGTGTTGACGAGAGAAAACTCGGCACACCTCGGCCAATGTCCTAGCTAGCTCCATCCATCTTTAACCAATTATATGCTCCCATCTCACCTCGGCCAATGACCTTCCAACACCTGTCTTTGACTAATTGTACGCCTGGATCTAACCTTGGCCATTTCCTACCTCCATCTAACCTCAGCCAATGTCCTACCTGCATTCATCTTCGACTGATTATATGCTTCTATCTTACCTCGGCCATTTCCTTACCTCCACCTAACCTCATCCAATTCCCTATCCCTACCTAAATTCGACAGATTCTGTACCTCCATCTATCCTTGGTAGATCCACTACCACCATCTAACCCTGGCCATTGTACCTCTATTTGCTACCATTGCTGGAACTAATTGGAATTGCCACCACCATTGCCTCTGGCTCTGCCAAAAAATACCGTCAGAAAAGGCTACTGTTGGCAAAACGTCAATGAAACTGAAAATAACAATATTAAATGCTACATGATTAGAAGAAATGGAAATAAAGACTGTAAGAGACTATGTTGGGTAATATATGTATGCTTGTACGTGCATATCACCCAACGTGACACAGCCATGGGAATAAAGGAGAGTATAGAGGATTAGATCGCCGAATGTTACCTACGTGGCGTCGACAGCGAATGCTAACCTGCTACGGCAAACGCTACAGCTAATAAGGTGATATGTGACGTGTCTAACCTGTCCTCTCCACTCAAAGAAGCGCACCATGCATTAGCTCGGCTCTGCCTCGCTGCCACTACAGACACCTGAGCTGGAAAAACCGCACTCACACGTACACGTTAACTGCGGTCTGGCATCTTCCGAGTTTTGATCGAGACTAATATTGGCTGTGAAGAATGCGCGGGATTACCAGACACGTTCGTTTGTGCCGCATGCCATTGTTCGGGTTCAGCTGCGCCCAAATAATCATTGCACCGCGAGCGTACAAGCAGCATTTCAATAGCATTTTTATCATGCCAGCAAAAAATCTGTATTTGATACGCTGTCCTGCGGCCCTTCTTTTTGGCTCTAAGTTAATTTGTTGAATTGGAGACCTATGAACGGCATACAAACTGGTAAACTGGAAAGCTAACCTTACAAATCGGGCAGCCATTTTGCATAGAAGCAGGAAACATGAGACATGGTTGCAATTAAGCCATCATCCCCACAAGAACCTCTTCTCCAGAAGACAATTATCACATGGACATATATGAAAATACAGCTCGAAATCACTCGGATCACAAGTTTATATTTATCAGTGCATCTGTGATGCTATATATACCCTACGTGAGATCAATGCCATCAGTATAGCACTCTACATTGATTGAAAAATTTACTCCGTCACACACTTTTACGCTTTCCATCATTTTACAAATGATTCATATTTTATAATCATGATCGTCATATTTACGTTTATAATTATTACAAATATGCACAACTTCCTCACCATCTCCCATTGGGTTTCTCTCTGGGAGCATGCCACCTATAACACATTATGGGGCTTCATCTACAGTGGCACAACCGCACTCTAAATATATCACCAACCTTTTTTAATTCGATTCTGTCACGGAATCAGAGGATTGGAGTGGATGGGAGAGGAAGGGAAGGGGGATGGAGAGGGGAGGGGTATGGGGAGGG